AACGGACATGGTTTTGTATGCTGCCTGCATCCCATGGATGGGGCTTTGCTTGTTTGAGCAGACCGGTTTCCGGCATGGCGTGGCCCAGTGCCTGTCCACGGACCAGGGTTGGGGACATCTGGCCAAGATCTCACACTCAGGGAGCGGCGCTTCTTTATACTTAAATGAAGATTTAAGATGGACATACTTCAATTCCCAGAATTTCCCATGGCTGGAGAATTCTGGGAATTTTGTAGTTCACCATCTTAAGGTTGCTGAGGTTGAGAAACACTGGTCTAAACGATCTGATCTAAGAAGAAATAAACTCTCTGGAGCCCACAATACTAATTAGAGAGCTTATTTAGCGACATTTAAGACAGGATGTTTTTCCGGCTTTGATGCCTCTGGTTTATTGGGGAGAGAAAGAGGGGAATGATCTCAAGGAAATAGCAGCAAATTGTAGATTAGAGTTATAAAAAGGTAATAGATAGTAAAATACATTGGAATTGCAAGGAAATTATTAAGCAGCAGGACATGAAATATGAGAACAATAGGGCAATTTCCACGGAATAGAGATAAACAGGACTATACAGAAAATAAGCTAACTAGAGATTCTCTTTAGTGATAACTGGGAAGCATCAATGGTGGGAAAAGACAGGCAGTAAAAGATCTAAGAGCTCATGATTTATGACTGTGTATTTCTTTAAGGAGACATGCTTTGTGAGAATTGGATAAAAGGAATTTACCCTGAGACAGACAACTTGCTTGACTTGAAATCTATTCCCAAGCATTGTTATTTTGCAACAATCTCTACTGTTGTTGTAATTCAGTTGGGCGGAAGATATCAGCCTAGGAACCCCCAGCATTCCTGGGATAATACCACACACACACATAAACACACACACACACACACACACACACACACACACACACACACAGAGCAGCTTGTTGACTAAATATTGATAAAATTTTTCCTGGGCCAGATTTCATTCTATGTTGGGACTCAAGTTTAGTTGTCATATGAAGTTGTAAGTTTATTGCTACACCAGGTAGTCCTCAGCTTACAACCATTTGTCCAGCGACTGTTCAAAGTTACAATGGCACTGAAAAAAGTGAATTATGACCGGTTCTTGCACTTACAACTGTCACAGCATCTCTATGGTCATGTGATCAAAATTAGGGTGCTTGGCAACTGACAGGTATTTACGACGGTGGCAGCATCCGAGGGTCCTGTGGTGACAATCAGTGACTTTCCCAGCTGGCTTCTGACAAGAAAAATCATTAGGGGAAGCTGGATTCACTTAATGACCATATGATTCACTTAACAACTGTAGTGATTTGCTTAAAAACCATGGCAAAAAGGCGGAGGTGAAATCCAGCAGGTTCTGACAGGTTCTGGAGAACAGGTAGCGGAAATTTTGAGTAGTTCAGAGAACTGGTAGCGGAAATTTTGAGTAGTTTGGAGAACCCGCAAATGCCACCTCTGGCTGGCCCCAGAGTGGGGTGGGAATGGGGATTTTGCAGTATCCTTCCCCTGGAGTTGGGTGGGAATGGGGATTTTGCAATATCCTTCCCCTGCCATGTCCCCAAGCCATACCACGCGCACAGAACTGGCAGTAAAAAAAATTGAATTTCACCACTGCAAAAAAGTCATGAAATTGGAGGCGAGTCACTTAACAATTCCCTTGCTTAGCAATGGAAATTCTGGTCCTGATTGTGGTCATAACTCAAGGACTACCTGTACCTGCAGACAACTGTCAGAGGCATCCTAGTTCGAGGTGTCACATCACAAGCAGCGACCCATTAAAAAAAAGACTAAATAAAACCAAGACCTTGTTTAAGGAGTGATTTCTGATCCTAATTATCTATACCTGGGGTCCAGTCCAGTGGTGGGTTCTTCCCGGTTTGGCCCGGTTCGTGTGAGCCGGTAGCGGTGACGCTATTATGTCAACAAACCGGTTCTCTTTCTTCGGGAGCTGGGCCCTCCCGCCCGCCCCTGCGTTATTCTGACCTTATATTTCTGCTGTTTTCGCCCAGCTGAGAGGTGAGGCAGAGCGGATTGCAGCACCTAAGCTGGGCAGATTCGCAACGCACTTGCGCAAAGCGCTTGTTTGGTGTGCCTGCAAGCGAACCAAGCATCGCGCAGCGATCGCGCACAAAGCGCGCAACCGAAGAGGCGATCACGCGCAAAGTGCGCACACAAAGAGAACCGGTAGTAAAGCCAGTTAGAACCCACCCCTGGTCCAGTCCAATTGATTTTTATCAAGACTGGAGAGATTAGAGGTTGTTCTGATAAAATAAGGGGCAGCAAGCTTCCCAAGGACTTAGCCCAGTGGTGGGTTGCCCCCGTTTCGCACCGGTTCTGTAGAACCGGTAGTAAAGGTAAGTATGTATGTATGTATGTATGTATGTATGTATGTATTTATTTATTTATTTAGTTAGTTAGTTAGTTAGTTAGTTAGTTAGTTAGTTAGTTAGTTAGTTTATTTTATTAAATTTTTATACCACCCTTCTCCCGAAGGACTCAGGGCGGTGTACAGCCAAAAACAAAACCCACAACTATATGAAAGTTAAAAGACAATTTAAAAATATTAAATAATTTGGCCGAAAGAGCTAAAATAGAAACCACCCATTAAAATAGCATTTAGGCCAGCCCTGCTTGGTGAAACAGTAGCATTTTGAGGGCGCGGCAAAAAGTGCAAAGGTCGGGGATCCTATGAATCTCCGGGGGCAGCTCATTCCAGAGGGCAGGTGCCCACAGAGAAGGCTCTCCCCCTGGGGGTCGCCAGTCGACATTGTTTGACCGACGGCACCCTGAGGAGCCCCTCTCTATGGGAGCGTACTGGTCAAAGGGAGGCTATTGGTGGCAGAAGGCGGTCTCGTAAGTACCCAGGTCCTAAGCCATGGAGCGCTTTAAAGATGGCAACCAACACCTTGAAGCGCACCCAGAAGACCACCGGGAGCCAGTGCAGCTCACGCAGGAGCGGTGTTACATGGGAGCGTCGAGTCACTCCCATAATCACCCACGCGGCTGCATTCTGGACCAGCTAGAACCTCCGGGTGCTCTTCAAGGGGAGCCCCATGTAGAGAGCATTACAGTAGTCCACACGGGAGGTGACGGGGGCATGAGTGACTGTGCGCAAGGAGTCCCGGTCCAGAAAGGGACACAACAGGTAGATCAGGCGAACCTGATAAAAAGCCCCCCTGGCCACAGCCATCAAATGGTCTTCTAGGGCCAGCTGCGAGTCCAGGAGGACACCCAAGTTGTGAACCCTCTCTGAGGGGGTCAAGGTGTCCCCCCAATAGTCAGCAATGGGACTAGCTGACTATGACAGGGTGCCGGCAACCCCAGCCACTCGGTCTTGGAGGGGTTGAGTCTGAGTTTGTTTCTCCCCATCCAGATCCGTACAGCCTCCAGGCACCGGGTCATCACGTCAAGGGCATGACATGTAGTAGTCTACACGTCAAGTAGAACCCATCCCTGACTTAGCCTCTTATTCTAAGTCTTAAATATGTTTTCAAAAGACCTCCCCTGCACAGAAATCACACCACCCAAAATTGCCATGTGGTCCCAGAATATGGTGGTGCTTTCCAGAGAAGTTGTGTGTCCATCAAAACGTTGCTTGGATGGCCAGAAGTGACTGATCAATAGTTTGCTTAGTGACCATTCAAAGTTGCAACGGCACTGGGAAGAAAACGTGACTTATGACCATTTTTCACACTTATGACCATTGCAGCATCCCCATGGTGATGTGATTTACATTCGGATGCTTGACAACTGACTCACATTTATGACGCTTGCAGTGTCCCATGGAGATTGTTTTGTTCCCCAGGCATCTGGCTCCACTGGGAACAGGCAGATGAACTCTAGCAAACAGGTTTTCATACAGATCATTTATTAGGGTATCCTCAAACACAGACTTACAATTGTGATGAGTCATGGTGAGTCGTGGTGAGATTTATCCTTTTTTCATAATCTGTCCCATTTCCTAGTGTAAAATGATGGTAGTTCTGTCCCCCTGTTCAGAAAGCATGCTTCTCTCTTCTGTGGTAGTTCAAAATGGCCGGGTCTTTGTTCTGCACCCAGGCAGAGAGCCTCAGTGGCCAATCAGACACACAGATATGGTCACATATAAGGAGACAGCTCTTAATTCTTAAGGTAACTTATTCACTATAACTCACTATCTGAAACAGCACAGTGATATGATCCCCTTTTGCAACCTACTGATAAGTCAATGGGGGAACCAGATTCACTTAACAACCGTGTGAGTAATTTAACAACGGCAGTGATTGGCTTAACACATGCGGCAAGAAAGATCGTAAAATGGGGCAAAATTCACTCAACAAATTTCTCACTTAGCAACCTAAATTTTGGACTCAGTTGTAGTCGTATTTAACAACCGTGTTACTAATTTAACAGATTCGCTTACGTAACAACTGTGTTACTAATTTAACAACAGCAGTGATTCACTTAACAAATGTGGCAAGGAAAGTCGTAAAATGGGGCAAAATACAAATTTCTCACTCAGCAACCTAAATTTTGCGCTCAATTGTAATCGTCGTACGTTGAGGACTACCAGATCTGGTTCTGAGGAACCATCCAGATTCTTCCTACCTTTTTACCCACCAGAAACCCACACCTCAGTGGCTCTCTTGTTCGTGACTCAATTTTGGAGGGCAAAGAGACGGAAAAGGGCTGGACAGGACATACTTGTGCTCTAGTCTGTTTGGCTTCTGCGTGCTGAAAGCAGAATGGGATTTGCTGTTTAGGTAACAAACATTACTTTGGGACAATCCCATCCTCTGCCAAGAGATGTGGTTGACGTCTTTCAGAGGGTCCTCTGAGACCAAGTTAAACGAAGAGGAGGCATTGCTGGCCTTGTTTTGACAAAGGGGGTGAGAGTGGGCCAGCAGAAAACAAACAAGGAAAGAGGAAGCGTTCTTTGATTCACTGATAACAATACCGCTTTCTTGGAATGGCGGCTGTGTTATGCTAACCCATAACCACCACCTTCTCCAATTAAACAGGAAGGAAACAAGGAGCCAAGTGGGAGGAAATATTAATCAGATGCAATATAAACAGTGGGAGATGTATGTCCCCACACAGTTGAACCCGAAGGCTGAATCGGGAACTAACCAAGACAATTGAAAACATGATGGAGAAGAATGCCTACGCCATGGCCACTCTGGGCCTCGACACCAAAAATGCCCTTCAACCCAAGCGGGATTGTGGCTTCTACATGAAGTATTTCTTCCTCTTCCTCTCCCTCATCCAGTTCCTTATCATTTTGGGATTGGTACTTTTCATGATCTACAGCAACCCCCGGGAAGCCACCGAGAAACACCTCAAGGGCTTGACGAACCAGCTGCAGGACAGTGAGAAGAAGATCAAAGCCCTCAACGAAGAGATTGGCAAATTCAAGCGCCATCTTAATGCCACGGAGAAGGAAGCTCGTCTGGTACAGACCCAAATGGCCAGGCTGAACGCCACCTTGAGGCTTTGCAACAATGAAAAGGTAAGCCCTGGGGGAAGAAGAACATAAGGAGACAGATAGCCTTCAGGTTGCCATGAGCATCCGCCTTTTTCTATGCATTGATAGACATGAAGTTGAGTTCCTTTTCCAAAGGAAGGGAAAAATGATAAGCGCGTGGACAATGAGGATGGAATATGAAATGCATTGAAAGATTTGTCTGTTAAATAGGGCATTATTTAAGAGCCTTGGTGGCACAGCAGACTAAAGTGCTGCCTGCCTAAAGTAGCACCAGCTGCCTGCAATTACTGCAGGTTCGAATCTCACCAGGCTCAAGGTTGACTCATTACCCTGTGGGGCAATAAGCTGACTTTGTATAAAAAAGAGCCTTGGTAGTACAATGGTCTAAAGCACCCTGTTATTAAGACCAGCTGCCTGCAATTACTGCAGGGTTCGAATCTCGCCAGGCTCAAGGTTGACTCAGCCTTCCATCCTTTCTAAGGTAAGTAAAATGAGGACCCAGTTTGTGGGGGCAATAAGCTGACTTTGTATAAATATACAAAAAGGATGAAGACTATTGCTTAGCGCATTGTAAGCCACCCTGAGTCTCCGGAGAAGGGCGGCATATAAATCAAATTAAAATAAATAAATAAATAAAAATAAATAAATAAAAAAAAGAACACCGCTTGTGGGGGCCGAAAGCCCTACTAAGCAGGTATATACAAAAAGTATGAAGGCTATTGCTTAATGCATTGTAAGCCGCTCTGAGTCTCCGGAGAAAGGGCGGCATATAAATTGAACCAATAAATAAATAAATAAATGATTAATTATTAAATATTACATTATTTTATTTAAATTCAAATTTAATTTAATTTAAGTTACCCTATGGTAAGATGGGGGGCCCATGGAGACACGCTTTAATAAAGGCACGGGTATTAGTCATGACAGCTACATTAAACTTCCATATTCAGTCTCTGAAGTAGCAGATACCAGAGAATAAATGCCAGGGAAAAATGTTTCTGCCTTGGGCATCTGTGTTACCATTGTTGGAAATAAGGTAGTGTGTTGGATTCTTTCAGCTTCAGATGATAGCCCTGGCACTTAACCCACAAAGTACCCTGTTTCCCCCCAAATAAGACATCCCCTGATAATAAGCCCAATTGGGCTTTTGAGCGCATGGCAATAAAGGCCAAGCGCTTATTTCAGGGTTCAAAAAAAATATAAGACAGGGTCTTATTTTCGGGGAAACACGATAGATGTTTTGCAATGCTCAATGCTGTTCAGAACTTTTCTGGAGACTTTCCCCAGTCCTAAGAATTTATTTATTTATTTATTTATTTATTTAATTATTTATTTATTTATTTATTTATTTGAGTACATATTAGATAATATATATAAGTATAAGCATGAATTGAATACATAAAATGAATACAATTAAAGGGAACATTAGGACAGGGACGGTAGGCACCTGGTGCTCTTACAGACCTCTTAGGAATGGGTGAGGTCAACAGTAGACAGTTTTAAGTTAAAGTTTTGGGGGTTTTGGGATGGGACCACAGAGTCTGGTAGTACATTCCAGGTATTAACAGCTCTGTTACCGAAGTCATATTTTCTGCAATCGAGTTTGGAGCGGTTCACTTTAAGTTTGTAACTATTGTGCGCTCGTGTATTGTTGTGGTTGAAGCTGAAGTAGTCATTGATAGGTAGGACATTGTAGCAGATGACTTCATGAGCTATGCTTAGGTCATAAAACAAAATCATAAAAGTTGGGGGGGGTGTTAATTCTAGATTGTTAAACCCTTCTAGGACATTGAACACTTGCTGACAAACCAAAGAGGGTGGCATTGGGGGGTGCTTCAGAAGACAGAATTCAAGTAGATTGACTCTAGAGCAGTGTTTCTCAACCTTGGAAGCTTGAAGATGGGTGGACTTCAACTCCCAGAATCCCCCAGCCAGCACTGCTGGCTGGGGGATTCTGGGAGTTGAAGTCCACCCATCTTCAAGCTACCAAGGTTGAGAAACACTGCTCTAAGAGGACAGACTTTTGGGAAGTGACCAGCGCCTTGCAAGAGAAGGTTAAAGGCTTGGAGTGGTCAGTTTGAGAACAATCTTCTCCCAAGAAGTGGAGAAGGACATTTGTGGGAAAACAGCCAATGAGATTACTTGGGCAGTTGGGGGGATTTGTGCCCAACTAGGTCTGGAAGAAACAATGTGACAGATTGTTTCCCATTCCATGTCTCTTGAGACAGTATAGTTTGTGACGGTTACTTTGTGTATAGATTGGATTTTTTTTTTTTTAATTTGATTTATATGCCGCCCTTCTCCGGAGACGCGGGCGGCTTACAGTGCGTTAAGCAATAGCCTTCATACTTTTGTATATTTATACAAAGTCAGCTTATTGCCCCCACAAACTGGGTCCTCAATTTACCTACCTTAGAAAGGATGGAAGGCTGAGTCAACCTTGAGCCTGGTGAGATTCGAACTTACAGTAATTGCAGACAGCTGGTGTTAATCACAATGCTTTTTTAGTCCGCTGAGCCACCAGGCCCGGTTAATGAGATTAACCACTTTCACAATCACAATGGTGTTTATGCACCTCTTGGAGGCGGCTGACTTAATTTTTAGAACCCATACAAGCCGTTGATTAGAATCTATTTAATCAGACGATGCTCCAAAGTTGAGAAGGCTGGAAAGCAAGCTGGTGGCTATTCTGTTATTCCCCAGCGACCATGGGAGAAACTTAATGGACTTTCCATCCTTTTCTAGACAAAGCAATGAAGGAACAACAGATCAGCAATGCAGCAGCTCTTGCAGCGGCAAATGAAAATAAATTCAATTTGCGTTATTTGAATATTAGTTGCATTGGTGAGTATTGCAAACCCATCTTTATTCTTAGCCCTGTAATACAAAACCAGAGAAATTTGCAGTGATGTTTCCTACTTATATCTCCTTCTGATTCAATATACAATGCGTTGTCTTTGGGCTGTCTTTGAAAACAATTCCAGAGGGTTTGTTTGGTGCAAAAGTGCCAATATACGAAACCAGAGAATTGATTTCCCATGCAGATAACTATCCACTCCCTAACGCTATCAAGGTAAAGATTTTAATTGGGTTTTTAAAAAATGGGATTTTAAATTTGGGGTTTTAAATTGAGCCTATCATTTAATAATTTTAAATTTTGTCTGTCTTTGTGCTTTTAATCAGGCTGTACACCGCCCTGAGTCCTTCGGGAGAAGGGTGGTATAGAAATAAAATAAAATAAAATAAAATAAAATAAAATAAAATAAATAAAATAAACACTGACCATGCCCTGACCATAATGCTTTAGAATAGAATACAGAATAGTCCAATCCCTGCTCAAACAGGAGACCCTATACAATTTCAAACAAAAGGCTATTCAGTCCCTTCTTAAAAGCCTCCAGTGATGAAGCACCCCACAGCTTCGGAAGGCAAGCCGTTCCACTGGTTAATTGTACTAATTTTCAGGAAATTTCTCATTACTTCTAGGTTGGTTGTCTCCTTGATTAGTTTCCATCCATTATTTCTTGCCCTGCCTCCTGATGCTTTAGAAAACAAGTTGACCCCGTCTTCTTTGCGGGAGCCCCTTTCTGGATCGGGACGCCTTGCGCATGGTCACTCATGCCCTAGTCACCTCCCGTATGGACTACTGTAATGCTCTCTACATGGGGCTCCCCTTGAAAAGCACCCGGAGGCTCCAACTGGTCCAGAATGTAGCCGCGCGGGTGATTATGGGCGCAGCTCGTTGCGCCCATGTAACACCTCTCCTACGCAAGCTGCACTGGCTCCCTGTGGTCTTCCGGGTGCGATTCAAGGTGTTAGTTATCACCTTTAAAGCGCTCCATGGCTTAGGACCTGGGTACCTACGAGACCGTCTTTTGCCACCAATAGCCTCCCACCGACCAGTTCGTTCTCACAGGGAGGGACTACTCAGGGTACCGTCAGTCAAATTATGTCGACTGGCGACTCCCAGGGGGAGGCCCTTCTCTGTGGGGGCTCCAACCCTTTGGAATGAACTGCCCCCTGAGATACGAAATAACCCTGATCTCCGTGCTTTCCGCCGTGCCCTCAAGACCCTGATGTTCCAACAGGCAGGGCTAAACATACAAACATGCGAATGATTTTTTAAATGTTATCTAATTCTGGGTTTTATTTAATTGACCAAACTAAGTAATAATTTTAATTAGCAATTTTATGCTGTTTGTGTGTCTATATTTTTCTTGACTGTACACCGCCTTGAGTCCTACGGGAGAAAGGCGGTATAGAAATATAATAAATAAATAAAATAAATAAATAAATATTGGAACGCTGCTATGTAAGGCTACCATTCTAAAAAGTGACTTAGCTTAATGATATGTAATCAGTTCTTTATTTTATTTTTTTTTCTGGTGATAATTGCAAGGAATCTGTGGTGGTGTGGTGGAAGAATAGGGTTCTTGAATGCACACAGTCATGTCCACTTTTTGCAATATTGACCGGATGGCTTTTGTGCTTGTCGCTTGGTCTACAGCACAGGTGACCAGGCTGCAAAAGGAGCTGATGGGCTTGGAGCTGAATAGCAAGATGGAGAGAGAAAAGTTAAGCCAGGACAACAAGTCTTGGCAAAAGAAAGCCGAGGACACAGAGAAAGAGAAGAACGAATGCCTGCTAGACAAACTCCAGCTGCAAACACGGGAACAGAAGTACCAGGAGTTGAAGTCCGCCGTGATCCAAGAGTTAGAACCTGTCCTTAAGAACTTGAAAGCTTCCACGGAGCAGTTTTTGACTTCCTACGAGATCCGTGGCTGTTACCGCCTTGAGATTGAAAACACCTTCCGCTCTATCTTCAGAAATCTGCAGACCCATCTTGATACAGTGGCACAAGAACTTGACCAGAAGGCCAACGAGGTGACTCGAGAGAATGCCCTGTTGCAAACCCAGAAGGCTGCTTGTCAACAACATCTGCAGGAACGGGACCAGCAGCTCAGCCTCCAGCAGCAGCAGTTTAACTTGGAGAAGCAGATCCTCCAAGAAACCGGAGAACATCAAGCTCAGAAAATAAGGGGCGAATGCACGAAGATGCTGGATGAGAACGAAAGCTTGAAGCTGCAGCTCCAGCAGACCAAACAGGCCTGCATCGGCCTGCGGGTAAAGTTACCAAGACCTCAACTTCTGTTCGTAATGGGCAGAGTTAATCCCCTGGCATCTCCACTAGACCAGATCTCAGCAGCTCTGAGATTCTAGGAGCAGCTGTTGCCAGATTGGCCCTGGGCTACAGAAGCAATGGTGGGTTGCTACCGGTTCACACCGGATTGGATGAACCAGTAGTGTTGGCGGTGGGAGGCTCCGCCCACCTGCCCAAATGCTTCTGCGCAGAAGTGTTGCGCGCACGTCCACGAGCGAACCGGTAAAGGCAGGTTTTAAAACCCATCCCTGTACAGAAGCATCTACAAGAGATATGGGCTGCCCCCCAAAAAAACAGGAAGGTGGCTTAGGCTGTGAGATAGAAGCCTGCTGTTTTATACCAGTGTTGCCCAAGTAACCTGTGTAAGAGAGGAGTGGGCTCTCAATTGCACAATTGTAGGCACCATCATTAGGACCTTCTCATCTGCACCCAAGATACTCCTGGCTAGAAGGACTGGTCTCAGCAGTCCTAATTTAGGGTGGGGGGAGGTTAGTATTGAAGAGCTATTCAGATAGTCCTCAACTTACAACCACAACTAAGTCCAAAATGTCAGTTGCTAAGCACAACAGTTGTTAAGTGAGTTTTGCCCCATTTTACAACCTTCTTGCCACAGTTGTTAAGTGAATCACTGCAGTTGTTAAGCTAGTAACACAGTTGTTAAGTAAATCTGGCTTCCCCGTTGACTTTGTTTGTCAGAAGGTTGCAAAAGGTGATCGCATGACCCTGGGAGACTACAACTGTCATAAATACATGCCAGCTGCTAAGCATCCGAATTTTGATCATGTGATTGTGGGGATGCTGCAATGGTCGTAACTGTGAAAACCTGTCATAAGTCACTTTTTTCAGTGACGTCGTAACTTCAGATTGTCACTAAACAAATGGTTGTAAGTCGAGAACTTTCTGTAGATGGTGCGTAGAAATAAGCAAACCTGTTTAAAAATCTCTTTTCTGATGAAACTTCTATTTTGGACTTTGGAGTTTAAGTTAACCCAGCATCTCTGTTACCCTGTATCTCCTCTGCATTCCAATCACCTACATTACTTTAAAGACTTAAAGAATTTTCTAAACTGGAAAAGGAGTTTAGTTGTTGCAATAGAGCGAAATGATAATATGGGGAAAGAAGAACCAAGAGGGTCTATCTCTGATTTTAGAAAATGCCACAAATTCTTTGTAGGATTTTAGGATGCTAAATACATCTTCAATTGTGGGTGGAAAAGAAAACATGTAAAATATAAAATAAGTACCGGGAGGTCAACTAGAGGTTACAGAATAACAGAGTTGGAAGGGACCTTGGAGGTCTTCTAGTCCAACCTCCTGCTCAGGCAGGAAACCCTACAGCACTTCAGACAAATGGTTGTCCAATCTCTTCTTAAAAACTTCCGGTGTTGGAGCACTCACAACTTCTGGAGGCAATTTGTTCCATTGATTCATTGTTCACGTACTCTCTTCTGTTTAGTCTATTTCTGGAATTAAAGGCCAGGTTTAAATTGACTGGCCTGATTTTTACAACTACATGACCACATTGTTGAAATTAGGAGATGCCTTGTTAATTTGGGAGCTGTAGTTTTCCATTTTTAAAAAACAAAAATATAGGCTGTTAATGGTTAACCCATGAAGGTTTTGGAAAGCTCAACAAACTTATTATTTCTATAGACTTCAGCTCCGGGCAACACGGCTTTGAGGAACCCATTAAGTCTGGGCCCACCTAATCCCTTTGGCACCTTTCCAAGAAATTTGGGGAATACAGGAGGTCTCGGAAATCCTGTAGGAAGCTCTAATGTCTTCAGCAGTCCAAGCCTATGGGGGAGACCAAGTTCACCGGCTCAGCCGAGTTCTGGATCTCAGCGAAATTTAAACACGGCTGGTAAGTAATCCATTTCTGGGAAGAATGAGGTTTAGTTCTTTAAAATGCCTCTAACTGACCTGAGAACTCATGTCCTAGCACTCACAGATGGGGATCACACCTTTGAGGGACAAAGTAAAATGATTTTAGCTTTGAATATGTTTAAGACTGCAGGGACATAATTATTGCTTATTACTGGATTATAGTTGCTAGCAAACTGTAAGATTGCATTTGTCCGTCTTCTGACTCTGAAGGGTATCATCTTGTAGAATAACAGAGTTGAAAGGGGCTTCAAGGTGTTTTAGTCCAATCCCTTCACAAGCAGGAGATCCTATATCATTCTGGACAAACGGCTGTGCAATCTCTTCTTTAAAACTTCCAGTGATGGAGCACCCACAACAGTGGTGGGTTGCTACCGGTTCTCCCCGGTTCTTGCGAACTGGTAGTGGAAATTTTGAGTAGTTCGGAGAACCGGTAAATACCACCTCTGCCTGACCCCACCCCCAATCTATTTGCTGCTTCCCGAGTCTCAGCTGATCGGTTAGAAGGAAAAAATCAGGGCTCACTTGACAAAGAAGAGGGGGAAAAAAACAAGACACCGTAGCTTTAAATTGAGAAGCCAAGAAACCTCCCAACTGATCGGTTACAACTGATCCGCTCCTTGTAAACCGCTCGGTGGTGGTAGATTGGCAATTGAGGCCAACCTGCCTGAAAGCGGTTTCCGATGCTCTCGATGGTGGCAGAGTGGCAAAAAACTGTTTACACTCTTGCCACGGCGCTTCAAAGGGCCACCCTACAGCTGAACAGCGGTGAAAGGCAGTGTGGTGTTAGATCAGTGTGCTCCAAAAACAAATGGGTAGACCGGTACGGCTCTGCAAGCTGTTAAAAGCCTGGTAGACCAGTACCTCTACTAAATCCTAAAGAATTGTTTGTTACATGACCATCAAACCACGCCCACAAAATAAGCCACGCCCACAGAACTGGTAGTAAAAAATTTTAGAATCCACCCCTGACCCACAACTTCTGAAGGCAAGCTGTTCCACTGGTTAATTGTTTTCATTGTTAGGAAATTTCTCCTTAGTTCTAGATTGCTTCTTTCCTTGGTTAGTTTCCATTCATTGCTTCTTGTCTTGTCTTCTGGTGCCTTGGAAAATAGGTTGACCCCCTCTCATTTGTGGCAGCCCCTCAAATACTGGAACACTGCTATTGTTCTTAGCTCTTGCCTAGCCCTTCTTTTCACTAGACTAGACATACTCAGTTCCTGCAAGTGTTCATCATGTTTTAGCCTCCGGGGCCCCCAATCATCTTTGTTGCTCTTCTCTGCACTCTTTCCAGAGTCTCTATCTTCTTTCAAGCTATGGATGATTTGAACTCCAGATATTTAAAGTCCTTGGCTCATGCTAAAGTAGAATTTCCCAACCTCAGCAAGCTTATGACATGTGGACTTCAATTCCCAGAATGGGTGTGCTGGCTGAGGAATTCTGGGAATTGAAGTACGTACGTCATAAATGTGTGGAGATTGGGAAACACTGTTCTAAAGAGATACTGCTTATTTTCCTGCTATGATTGCAGTTCACCTCCCTTTTGGTAAACAATACTTATTTTAAAATAACTAATGTCCATTTTCACCTTATTCCAATATACAACAAGATGAAAGATGAAAGCTTCATTTTAAGTTTACTTGGGTGACAAATAGAATAACTGTGTCATTGGCATGTGAATAATAAAAACAATAAAAGGTGAATTTCATTATTATTATTTTTTTTACAAAGGTTGAGTTATGGAACAGATCCAGAGATTGAAAAGAGAGCTAGGATTCACCCTTTTTTAACTCCTTCTTCGATAGGTGCTGGAGCAGGGAATCCCCAAAAGTTTTATACCTTACTCACACAGTGTTTCCATGTAGCTTCATAATTAGATGAAGCAGTCAGCAATTTAGGACAGGCAGACATTTTTGCCTGTTGCCTCGTTTTAGAGATTGAATCAAAGGATGTCTTTAAATCAGAAAGGCAGCCTAGGAAGTAGAAGAAATTATTTTCTGCCAGGCCATGTAGCTCAAGTCAATGATGAAACATGAACCATCCCATCCAGTTTTGGTCCCCACGATGTAAAAAAGATGTTGAGATTCTAGAAAAGAGCAACAAAGTATGATTAGGGGACTGGAGGCTAAAACATATGAAGAACGGTTGCAGGAACTGGGTATGTCTAGTTTAATGAAAAGAAGGACTAGGGGAGACATGATAGCAGTGTTCCAACATCTGAGTAGCTGCCACAAAGAAGAGGGAGTCAAGCTGTTCTCCAAAGCACCTGAGGGCAGGATAAGAAACAATGGGTGGAAACTCATCAAGGAGAGAAGCAACCTAGAACTAAGGAGAAATTTCCTGACAGTTAGAACAATTAATCAGTGGAGCAACTTGCCTCCAGAAGTTGTAAATGCTCCAACACTGGAAGTTTTTAAGAAGAGATTGGACAACCATTTGTCTGAAATGGTGTAGGATTTCCTGCCTAAGCAGGGGTTTGGACTAGATGACCTCCAAGATCCCTTCCAACTCTTCTATTCTATTCTATTCTATTCTATTCTATTCTATTCTATTCTAATTCTATCCTATCCTATCCTATCCTAATCTATCCTTTATCCAGCTTGCTTCTCTACACATTGTCTTAAAACAGTGAGTCACCTGGCTTCCCCTGAAGATGTACGACCTAATCTGTTAGACATACTTAGGGGACTGAAAAATTTGGCCAAAAAGTCTTGTCACCATTCATGGAAATCAGGATTATGGTAGTGTCAGCCTTACCAGGTAGACTGGATGTCAACCTGCAAAACGACTTCAGTTGAAGCTATGCTTCCTTCTGCTTCATTTCTTGGTTGCCATTCAAAGGGGAGGGGGAAAAGAAGGGGGCGGGACTCAGGAATGTGGTGGCTCATCTGGCTAGCCATAACATCTACTAGCTGGCTTGAGAACCAAGGTCATGTCAACGGACTGTCAGAATTTTATTTTGGCTACCATCCCCAGCTATCTCTACCCCAACCCACCTTGTTCCCACAGCTCAACTCATCTCTGCTGTGTCAGCCCTGGAGATGACAGGAGAAAATGGCTCCAGGGCTGACACAGACACCTGTTAAGATGAGTGGAACCTACCTCTGGACTGATTGGCCCATGTGAACTGAGAGACATAGTGGGGGTAGAGAGGTCTCATTCTTTTAACTATCCGTAAGCACGGGAATAATTTAGAGCTAGCTTCACCTGTCTAAGTATGACAGTACCGATATGATGTACTCATTTCTTGAACCTGAACAAAATAGCTTGACTTCCTGGAGTTCATTATTCGGAACGATGACATCAGACAGGAAACACAGCCAGATAAACTAATTCAGTTTTATTGTAAAGCTACACATTTCAAGTCTAAAAGTACAATTCTCCCACTGTCTCCTATACAGCCTGAGAAACTAGGGAGGGTCTCTTCTGAATCTTTTGCCCCACCTACTATCCAGCTGCAGGCCATGTTGTCTCTTTTCTGATCATTCCCTAGGCCAGGGAATGGCAACTTTAAGACTTGTGGACCATGGCAACTTTAAGACTTGTGGACTTCAACTTCCAGAATTCCTCAGCCAGCTTTGCTGCCTGAAGAATTCTGGGAGTTGAAGTCCACAAGTCTTAAAGTTGCTACAGTTGGAGACCCCTGCCCTAGGCAGCATCTCTTCACACCATCTTTCAAGATCACTCCCACATAATGTCGCATGAAACCCACCCCCCCTTCTTTGGCAACTGAAAGGGATAACCAATATCAGTAAATAGAGAAGTGAGTCCTGTTACCCACCAATCAGAGTTTATCGTAAAGAGTTCCGTTTCGATCAGGTTTCCCAACAGCTGAAACCTGCAGCTGCCAGCACAGTTTAAAAACCTCAGTAGTGGATATAGAAAGTCAACGAAATAAAGCATCCTGTAATTTATTTATTTAACAGAATAACAGAGTTGGAAGGGACCTTGGAGGTCTTCTAATCCAACTCCCTGCTTAGGCTGGAAACACTATACCATTTCAGACAACTGGTTGTCCAATTTCTTCTTTAAAACTTCCAGTGTTGGAAGTATAGATTTATTAAATTTTATTAAATTTATATGCCACCCATCTCACAATCTAGACAATGACTCTGGGCAGCTTATACTGCCATAAAAGCATAAATACAAAAAGATTAAAATTAACCGGAGTGGGATTGGATCAGGTGTAACATTGCTAAATGTAGCATGGTAATGCTGAACCAATTTTCTCAAATGAAATTACCTGACCCACCCCAGAAGCCCTTTTGGGGGTAAAATTAGGCTGTAAGCCACCAATGCCAAATTTATCTTTAATTGATTGTTCCAACTGAGCCTCCTGCTTTCATCTTTGAAGCAAGATCTTATCGAATTTTTCCAGATCAAATAACGTATCACTCAGTGTCTATAGTTATCATTACAGAACACATTGCAAATTGCAATTAGTTTTGCACACTCTTGATTATATTGGGAGTTTGTTTTACACTTAGTTCTGCTACTCTTTGCTGGAACTTTAACCATTAGATTACACCCACATTACACCAATTCTCTGCGAGCTGCACTGGCTCCCTATTGGTCTCCGGTCACAATTCAAGGTGTTGGTTATTATCTTTAAATCCCTACATGGCTCAAGACCAGGTTATCTTCGAGACCGCCTTCTGCCGCATAGCTCCCAGCGACCAGTAAGATCCCACAGAGTTGGTCTCCTCCGGGTCCCATCAGCTAAACAATGTCGGCTGGTGGGCCCGCGGGGGTGGGCCTTCTCTGTGGCTGCCCCAGCTCTCTGGAACCAGTTACCTCCTGAGGTCCGGACCATCCCCACCCTATTGGCCTTCCGAAAAGCGGTGAAGACCTGGCTTTTCTGGCAGGCCTGGGGCCGTTGATCTCGCTCTTGTGATCTGGTGAGATCTGGCCATGAATGGTGTAAATGAGTTTTTAATGTTTTTAATGTTTTTTAATATTTCAATGTCTTTTTATAATGATTTTTTAAATGTATTGTGAGCCGCCCTGAGTCTTCGGAGAGGGGCGGCATATAAATTTAATTAATTAAATTAAATTAAATTAAATTAAGATCCCTATCTGGATGTTGAGCCATGGCAATTGGACTTTTTTGCTTTTTGGTTTGAAACCTTTTGCTGTTTATCCAAGTAGCTTCTTCAGTAGCTTCTTGCAGACTGAAGAAACTACTTGGATAAGCAGGATAATGTTTCAAAACAAAACAAAAAAAAGAAGCCCAGTTGCCATGACTCAGCTCCACATATATACATACAGTTCCAGACAAACTCTATCTGGATGAGTGAGAATCTTCATCAACGCATTAGATTCCTAGTGATGTTCATTATTTAATGCACAATGTCTAATATTAAACGGATCTTAAATTGGAATGTTTTAATTACAGCCAAAATTATTTAATTATTTTAAACAGTTTTTAGATTTTGTATGTTTTGTATGTATGTCTTGTTTTTACTTTGGCTGTTCACCGCCCTGAGTCCTACATTGGAGAAGGGCGGTATAGAAATTTAAACAAATAAATAAATAAATAAATAATATGTTCAACTCATCTTTTACGACTCAATGAGCTATTAAAGCCGGAAAACTATTGATGAGCTATAAAGATGGGCAATAACCCTTTTAAATTCGTAGTACCATGTAATTCAATAATTGCGCTCTGAAAAGATGTTCTCCACCCAATATATTAATTAGAAATATAATTAATTATTCCGAGCCAGCTATATTAGAAACTAGTCTTGCAATAAATAAGGAGATGATTGTTTCGAGGTGAAAACAATTTTTAAAGGATTATAGTACCTTAGTAACATTTGAGGATATTATTATGTGAGCAATGGTACTAATACCGGTAAAAACCTCAAAAGGTGAATTCTGCCCTCAAGAAGTCATTCATTCAGCCAACTCATTTACACTAGATTGAATTGGGGATCAATTATTTAGTTACTACATTTCCCCCCACTTCCATTTTGGAAATGGTCAGGATGGTCAACATTGCAATTATTTCATGTTTTCACCCCATAACAACAACCTTCTAAGAGAGATAGGGCTAAGAGAGTGTGAGTGGCCCAAAGCCATCTATGGAGCCCTGTGTCTAGGGCTGGAGTTGAATGTGGGTCTCTCCACTGCTTCCCCCAACAACTACCACTGTATGCCTTTCTGGCTCTCTATTTAGTCAAGCCACACACACATTATTAGTTCCCTTATTTTTTATACAGTAAAGCTTGGGGAGGAACAGATCACTGGGCATATAGCAATAGCACTTAGACTTATATATCGCTTCACAGTGCTTTACAGCCCTCTCTAAGTGGTTTACAGAGTTCAGTCTATTGCCCCCAACAATCTGGGTCCTCATTTTACTGACCTCGGAAGGATGGAAGGCTGAGTCAACCTTGAGCCTGGTGAGATTCGATCAGCCAAACTGCTGGCAGCCGGTGATTAGCAGAAGTAGCCTGCAGTACTGCACTCTAACCACTGTGCCACCCTTGGCTCTATGTCGTAATATTGCAATATGTCATAATATTGCATGAATATATACTGTAATGTACTGTAGCAAAGGGCCATAGGGCCCAACCTAGCATTAAGGCAGTGTTTCCCAAAGTGTGGTACGCGTACCCCCAGGGGTACGGGAAGAGTTTGGTGGGGGTACGCGTTGCACCGGAGTTTGGTGGGGATCATGTGGGAATATCCACTGCACCGTGCTTAGCTGCGCCCACAGAACAAGGAAAGAAATAGGCGCGTATCGCAGTTTTTACACGGAAACTGGGGCCATCGTACATCGTATCGCAACTCATTATGGCGGGAACTTCTGCGCATCCTTCGCGCAGCTCGGGTTCGGCCATTTTTAAACTGCGGGAACATTAACAGTTGATGTTGAGCTGCGGAGCTGTTTAAATGCCGGAGAATTGCAGTGTTATCTAAGTGTTTCCCAAAGTGTGGTACGCATACCCCCAGGGTATCATATGTTTTTTATGAGGGGTACTCAGCGTTACAAAAATTATAGAAGGGGTACACATATGTCAAACATTTGGGAAACACTGCATTAAGGTTACCAGCAAGAATTAAATTAGCATTTGAATGCATTAGAAACAATTCCAATAGATAATTCTCAAACTCAGTGTTTTGTTTTATTAACTTACATTACAGAAAATAAATGTTAATTTCAAAATAGTGTCCCTAGCCAGAATGACACTGGCTCATGATTAGAATGAATAAAAATCAGGAAAGAGAAGAATACTGTGTAGACTAAGAATGCACTCAAGGCAATTGAGGCATTAGAAAGATTGTAGGGGACTGAAAATTGAGGCAGGAAGATTGACGTCAGCTTTGACAGGGTTACATATAAATATTGCTGTTCTTAAAGCTCTGCTAGACTCCAGTTTTTAACCACAGAGCATTGAAAATTAGCTCCTGCAGCCCCAAGATATGCATATAATTTCTTGCAAACTGATAGTGGAAAACATCCTTTGACTCCCATTAGCCAGCCCTGTTATTTATTCTGTACTACATCATGATTGATAAACAACTGTAAATTGGTGCAATGGTAGAGCAGAACCCACCATAAATATAATTAAGAAGATACTTGTCCTAAAGATAACATGGCAAAGAACATGAACCATCCTCTCCAAATTAGCATAAATATCAAAATGTGGAGCCACTGTCCAATTGCCTTATATTAGAGAGATATTCTGATACGTGCTTGGACCTTCTGCTTGAGAATTTGGAAATGATACTTATGGAATGACTCTTGGATACCCAACAGAAGGTTTTGCTAGTCTCCTGGAATAAAACAGGCGGAGAAATTCTTCCTTCAGGAACTTATTGGGCAGAGTTGAGATGATCTTCTGATGAGTAATCTGAGAATAGAATAGTAGAATTTAATGATATTCATTGCAGGCTACCCCTAGCTTAAAAGATAGATCAAGCCAGAAAGGACTTCGTATGGTAATTTTGGTCAAATTCAAACTAATAAGAAACTTAATTGAGACCAACTCTTAAACTACGGCAAAGAAGCAGAATATGTATGTATGTATGTATGAAATGTCAATCAAAAGGTTGGCAGTACAGCGGTTCGAATCCCTAGTGCCACGTAACAGGGTGAGCTCCTGTTACATGTCCCAGTTTCTGCCAACCTAGCAGTTCGATAGCACTTAAAAAATGCAAGTAGAAAAATAGGGACCACCTTTGATGGGAAGGTAACAACGTTCCGTGCGCCTTTGGTGTTGAGTCATGCCGACCACATGACCACAGAGACGTCTTCAGACAGCTCTGGCTCTTCGGCTTTGAAACAGAGATGAGCACCGCCCCCTAGAGTCGGGAACGACTAGCACATATGTGCAAGGGGAATTTATTTATTTAGTTCAATTTATATGCCGCCTTTCTCCTGAGACTCAGGGCTGCTTACAATGCATTTAAAAAAAAAACATTATAAAACAATTTAAAAATTAAAATATTAAAACCCATTCACACCATTCATGGCCGGATCTCACAAGATCGCAACAGCGAGATCAACGGCCCCAGGCCTGCCGGAAAAGCCAGCTCTTCACCGCTTTTCAGAAGGCCAATAGGGTGGGGGTGGTCCGGACCTCAAGAGATAAGTGGTTCCAGAGAGCTGGGGCAGCCGAGAGAAGGCCATCTCCCGCGGGCCCGCCAGCCGGCATTGTTTAGCTGACGGGACCCGGAGGAGACCAACTCTGTGGAATCTTACCAGTTGCTGGGAGCTATGTGGTAGAAGGCGGTCTCGAAGATAACCTGAGCCATGTAGGGCTTTAAATCTTCACCTTTACCTTTATGTATGAAATTTATATGCCTCCCATCTCACTATCACATCTCTGGCCACACTAGGATTTATCATCACTAAGAAGCACAAATTGGAGAATGGAAATAGCCCAGCTCTCCATTTCTTCAGGGTAGCCACTGTTCTCTGATCCTGGTGCCAAATTACACCACTGTCTTGAGTTCATTCCCAGTTCTTTCTTAATGTAATATTTAAAACATGCGAGCTTGGATTGCTAGAGTAATAATTCTTCATAATGTATTTTGTCACTTTGACTAGAATGGTCTTCTACAACCTGGTGTCTTCCACATGTGTTGGGATGCACCTACTGAAGAGGATTTTTACCCAAATATTTTGAGTGGGGGAAAGTAGATCTTGTGATTGTGGTAGGAAGACTGGTGATCCTTTCATTACTATGTGCAAATTTATATCTACTTTTTCTTTAGAACAAAATAAATTCCAGGAGATCTTGAAGGCTGCTGCAGAGACTGGAAAGTTGTCAAATTTAGCACCAGTAAATCCAGCGGGACAGCCCAAGTAAGTTTATGAATCTGTGGTTTTCAAGTTTCCCAATCAGAGGGCAGCATCAGGTTAATTTAAGTGGGCTAGAGAGCAGAGTTTGTGCAAATGCTGATTGATTTTGTACCAGAGGGAGTTGCATAAATACTTAGCTCCATCTCTAAGTTGAAATATTTAGTCTCCAACAGCAAAATTTCTGAAAGTGACTCTGAGGTTAAAACGAAATCAAGAACAGGTAGCAAATAGGGGTTTCAAAGAATTAGCTTATGAGAATTAAAGCCATGTAATGTGATGATACCGTAATCTCAGAGGCTTTCAAAAGATTGTTGAAAAAGAGGAAGAAGAAGGTGGGATCAGTTCAAAGGTATTCACCATGATGGTTAAGCAGACTTTAAATCACAAGGAGACCATCTCCGCAAGGTATTGAGAAAGGAAAGGTTGTGGAGTGCACACAATGTTTTTGTGTGCTTCCCAAGAACATCCAGTTAGTCACTGTGAAGAACAGGATGTGGATTAATATCAACCTTGACATGCGTCCAAATTCTAATGACTGGTCAAGTTATTTTGACAAGCCACTTAATTCTTTCCTTGTATTTTGCTTTTTCTTATCCCAGGAGTTAAAGGAAACATTGACAAAGACAACTAAGAATTCAAAACAGCTCCTAAGCATAAGACTGAAGTGTTGAGTAGGGGCAGGAAAACATTCACCTCTGTGGAAAAGACTTCAAACAGTAATTGAAGAGAGAAGGCCTGGAAGAGCTTTGGGGCCAGTGGAGTGGATCTCAAGTCGGGATTCTGCCCTCTTCTATAACATAACTGGCATTTAATTCTAGCTCAGTCTTGCACACTGATGTCTTTTACTGACCCAACATTGATTTCCTTCAGTATCTTTGGGTTCATACAAAAAACGTACTCCTTCATCGGATTGAGGGTCCATTGATGAAAAACCCACATCAATCCTTCTGCCTCAGGTTTCTTTACTTATATAGTTATTGCAAAGATAGAATGTAATCCCTGTGACTAGTGATGGGATTCAGCCGGTTTAGGCCGGTTCGAGTGAACCGGTAAATAAATTGCTGGCTGGCCCCACCCCGCCCCTTCCAGGAGTCCCCATGTGCCCCATTTTGGCTCCCAGGTAAGTGCAGGGAGGCCTCCTAGGCCCAAAATGGGGTGCAGGGGGAGGCGGTGCCTCCCCGCCCCTGTCGCCCGTTTTCACTTCCAGGAGGCTTCAAGGAGGCTTCCTAGGCCTGCTTTCGCTCCCAGGAGGCTTCAGGGAGGCCTTCTAGGCTCAAAATGGGGCGCTGGGGGACGCATCCCCCCAAGCCTATTTGTGCTCCCAGGGGAATGCAGGAGGCCGAGTGCTGCCTGTCACACCCCTGGCCATGCCCACTATGGCCACACCCACAAAGCCGGTCATTAGGGCAGAGAACCGATTGTCAAATTATTTGAATCTCACCACTGCCTGTGACATCACCATCCAGATGAGATGTGAATGCAATCAGTCAATATTTTCAGTGATTTCATGCCACTACTACATTCATTCAAAATGTAAGCAAAAAGGATGGAAATTGTAAATGCACTCTTCACATAAACGAAGAGTTAGTGTTCCTGCAGTTTTGTAAGATACTGTGGCATATTTATGTATATAGTTTTATGTAGGCATGCACTCATATATTGGAGAAGTTGTGTTTCTCTTGATTATTAGCTGGGCTGAAGGTCCCCTGTTCACCACTGGCATCTGATTATCCAGTCCACTCTAACTCTGTGAGTATCCCACTAAAGTTGATTACAATTACTGTATGTCTGATAACAGAGTTGAAAAGCTCTTTATCTACACTGAAGCTCTGAAGAACTAAAGAAAAAACCCTAAAAAGTTCCAAGCAAGATAGATTCATGGTCTATCAGTGATGGCAACTCTCTTTCTCAATATGACTTTGTTTTGGGGTTTCTGGAGGCATCATGCTAGCCTGTTTAGAAACAACATCATGGTCTGTAGATCTTGGTTTGGTCAGTAAACCCATCTTGCATTTGTTCTATTGCAATAACAAATAAAACTGCTATTGACAAAATATATTCCATTCAAATGATTAAGAAGAGCAATGTGGGCTATGGAAGATGCACAACTAATAAACTTCATATGAAAATCTAGCAGGAGTGGTGCTTGATTTTGATAAGAACTGTTGTTTTTACTTCTTTTAACACTCCTTGGAAAGTGAGTTATTTATGAGAAGGAACAAGGGTGATCTAACCTTACATTGCTTTTGTCAACTTCCTCATCTCCCACCCACAAAAGTCTTTGTGTCACAGGGCAGAGTTTCAGTTTTATGCTAGCAAGCAAAATTTCTCAGAGAGAAATTCAAAATAGGGCAAGAGTAAACAACTAAAAATGCAGACTTCCTTTCTAGGCAGTTGAGAAACATGGATGGCCGTAGCTCTGATTCTGTTGGGAAGCAGAGATGGAATGCTCTCCCGTGTTGTATTTCTTGAAATAATACTGTTAGTTCTCAATTTACAACCTTTCATTTAGCAACTGTTTGAAGTTACAGCAGCACTGAAAAAAGTGACTTACAATGGATCCTCACCAGTGGTGGGATCCTGCTGGTTTAACAACCAGTTCGGTGATTGCATGCTTTGCGCTCACGGGCCTGATGCACACTGTGCGCGCGTGAGAAATTTTACGAACACTTACCTTCCGCGGTACTGCTGGGGAGTAACACAGCTGAGGCATGGCAATCCGCACTGCCACGTGAATCAGCTGAGAAGATATGGGACAGTAAAGCCCAGGGGCTGGTGGGCGGGCCACCTGATCGTTGGAGCAAACCGGTTCGCTCCCAGCTGACCGTCGGAGCTACTGGTTCGCCCAAACAAGTCCAAACCAGTAGAATCCCACCCCGATCCTCACACTTACAACTATTGCAGCATTCCTCACAGTCACATGATCAAAATTTGAGTTCTTGACAACTGGGATGTATTTACAACTGTTGCAACATCCTTGGGTGGTGTGATCAGCATTTGTGACTTTCCCAGCCATCTTCCAACACGTCAAGGGAGGAAACACGATTTGCTTAACGACCATGTGATTCACTTAACAACTGCCTTACTTACTAATGAAAATTCTGGTCCCAATTTTGGTCCTTTACTACCTTCACTGCACTCTCTTTCCCTTGCCCCACTCCTGATATTAGGAAGCAAAGCTTCGTTGGTTGATGTTGAGAAGACAATATCAAGAGAATATCTACTGTGGGCAAGGAGGATTAAGTTTGCTTCTGGGGAAAATCCGAAACTACATACACAGATGAAAGCAATAGGAGGGAAGGAATAACAGAATAACAGAGGTAGAAGGGACCTTGGAGATCTTCTAGTACAAGCAGGAGACCTAATACCATTCCAGACAAGTGGCTCGTCTTAAAAGCCTCCAGTGATGGAACACCATAACTTCTGAAGGCAAGTTGTTCTACTGGTTTATTGTTCTCACTGTTAGGAAATTTCTTCTTAATTCTAGATTGCTTCTCTCCTTGATTTGTTTCCACCCATTGTTTCTTGTCTTGCCTTCTGGTACTTTGAAAAATAGTTTGAGCCCCATCTTCTTTGTGGCAGCCCCTCAAATATTGGAACACTGCTACGATGTCACCCCTACTCCTTCTTTTCTGTAGACTGTGTCAGGGGAAAAAAACCTGAATCAGGAGCACTGCTGTACTTAATAGAAATTGAACAGACAGTACACCACAAAAGTCTCACATCAGGAATCAGAGGTTTATTAGAATTTAAAACATAGCAAGTGTAAAGCACTTACATTAATCACATTGCAATGAGGGTTAATCAGGCAAGCAGTCACAAGAGACGGCTTGGGAGTTGGGACCAATTGGCCCCAATTCACACTTTAGCATTACCTTATACCTTCAAACCACATAACCTATAACTTTGAGGACTTTCTGCATTATCATAGCAACCTACAGTATCTTTCAACTCATCATCATATTTCAACATTTCTATTTTCATTCATACCGTTACTGCCTAGTTCCCCATTTCCTACAGCCATAGCTCCTCTCATCCTGAATTATAAGGAACTACGATGAGGGAAAAGAGGAACCATGCACCAGGATATTCATCTCAGCCATCATCATTAATATACTCATGCTGATTACAAATTTTCTCTTTATATTTGTGATAGGCAACTGGTACCGATAATGACCCCAACTCAGCCCCCCAATCAGTGGTGAAATCCAAATTTTTTTACTACCGGTTCTGTGGGCATGATTGGTGGGCATGCTGTGGCTTGGTGGGTGTGGCTTGGTGGGCGTTGCAGGGGAAGGATACTGCAAAATCTCCATTCCCTCCCCACTCCTGGGGGAAGGATACTGCAAAATCTCCATTCCCTCCCCACTCCTGGGGCCAGTGAGAGGTGGTATTTGCCAGTTCTCTGAACTGCTCAAAATTTCCGCTACCAGTTCTCCAGAATCTGTCAGAACCTGCTGGATTTCACCCCTGCCCCCAATCCTTATAGTGTTTAAGGGTTTGCGACACCACAGAACTGCAGAAGCCTAATATATTTTTCTCACAACTGGACAAACCCAATTCCTGCCACTGTTCTTCACATATTTTAACCTCCAGCCTCCTAATCACCTTTTCTGCACTCTTTCCAGAGTCAAAATTGAAAACTTGGAGTTAGGGTTTTGGAAATAATTTTTCCTAAAGCTTGAGCCTAAGAGTTTTGTTCTTTTATTCTTTTAGCATGAGCCTGAAAGCACAGAAGAAGCTAGTGGAACAGGAAGGGGTTAAGTTGAGGATGAAGGAATGTGAGATGACAATGCCTAGCTGAAGCTAAGCAGAGTCTCTTCATACTTGGAGAATCATCGGAAATACCGTGGTGGTTAGCTAAATAAGGAAGGGGGAATAATATAGAAGAACAAATTGAAAAGGATGTTGGTTTTGTTTTTGCTACATGACTACATGCACGAACTGATCAGGAATTGAACTTAAGTTGTGTTTTCCTTTTTCAGAGACAACCAAGGTCCAACTCCT